GTGCCTTTCAGGTGAACGACAGCCACTGACCGACAAGAACAAAACCGACCCGGGAAACTTGGGCGAAAGCCTCGATCCTGTGTATCAATCCGTGAATCCGTGAATGCTTCCCAGTAGGGTAGAAAGTGCCATGCATTGCTTCTTAGATTTTCAGCACAGATTGGCTTCACTTACGGGACGAAACCTCTATCCCAAATCCCCGAATCTCCTCACACTTCTAGTGATTCAATCTTGTCATATCCAGTCTTTTCTTAATGATAACGATGGTTCAGCTTTACTTTTTCCGCACCGCATGCTAAGTGGTCTGACCGGTCTCATAGGATTCTGCATCATAGTGTGGCTTCGCCTATGAATTATTCCCCTGAGCTAACTTGGCGTTTGTGGCATTACCCTGAGTCCTTTGTTTTCCTAGAAAATCAGGTATGAATTTTGATGCGCTGGACTCCCTCGTTCCATTGGCCGCGGTGGCACTGCATGGGAATCAGCTTCACTATAATTTCATTTGTGCCAAACGCGATGGATCTCTTACTGCTACGAGGTCCCCATGCGTTAGTTGGAGTTACTGCAAACCTCGATATTAACAGCGCTTAATACCATCTAGTGTGCAGAATACCGTGAGGAACTATCACACTAGTAAGTTTCGGTAAGTAATAAAACAGATCCCAGCTGCTGACGCCGACAATTTTGTGACATTGGAGCATTTACATAGAAGTAGGCGTAGCCTTTCACAGATGGAAGCGTGCATTAAATGACACGATCAAGTCAGTGCAATCTCAGCACCGCGGACATTGAGATATCGGTGACGGTGGAAAATTGGTGGTGTATGGATAGTAAGGCGGAAGTTGTGGTTAAAAAACTGTGGGCGAAAAGATGACGGAAATTGCACCTCTAAGGTGCTGAAGTGACACTTGAGAGTTTCGAACTAGAAATAACAACAGTAAAGGAATTTGGGATCCTGTTTAGCGGCTGATAAGCTGAAGCCATGGGTGGTGAAATTATGGTGAACAACCACACTAAAATCGAAGTTCGAAGGAAAGCAGTTCTAACCGATCAAACTTGTGCCAAACTATTAAGATGCTTGAAACTCGGGAGGTAAAACCAAGGCCAAAGGTTATTATTTATCGGGACGAAACGACCAAACACGGACAGAGCACAGTGCAATGTGCTAGGAGGATGGCATGGATATGTTTGACCTGAGTCACAATAGTATGCACAGCAAGTAGATGTACTTTCAAAGTGTAATGTAGTATATTGCAGTTGTATTTCAATACACCAGCGGTGGAACCTACCAGAATGCATCTGAACCAAAATTCGTGCAGAACGAACTTCACTGTAAGCGTGGGTGTCAATATATTCGGATTCATCCTGGGGCACTCTGGTACCCTTGACTGTGAATTTTTGTCTTTGTGTACCTTGTATGAATATGTTTTCAATTGACGTCACGCAGGTTTAAGGCAGACTGCCTCCAGCCACAGGAGCTGCTGCCGGGGAGTTTTGTGATGTGAGCTTATTAGATGATGACAGCTACGATATAACTTGGAAGGTAAATGCATTAATAGCATTTTTTACTATGGTTGACAGTAGTGAGTTGCAGCACGCATAAAAATACATGCAATGCGAAATCTGGAACAAGTGAGAGGAGGAACTTATCGTCTGTGACAGTTCCTTGGTGAAGGTCCGGACCTCGAGAACGTATTTTCTTCGCAGTATGGCTGCAACACGTGTTCCATGGACTTGTGGAGTGTGGTTAACTACCTGCCGTCTGAGCAAGCGAGTCTATGTCGATCGTTTGTATATTCCTGTATATAGGTACATTTGCGTGAATGTATCAGCGCCTGAGTTGTTACTACGATTACTAGACGGTACAGAAGTCAATGTCACCCTGGTGCGACGTCGTTTATGCGTGTAGAAAAATGCGAGCCTCGTGATGTAGTGAGCGACAATTAGCTGAACGGTCAAGTATGTGGGCAGAGGGATATCTTTAAGCCACAGCGGTACTTTACCGAAACATACCCAGTCAACACCACCACAGATTGTGCGACAAAAGAGTACGAACGACAATGGGCCACTGACACTGGAAAAGAACAGTGAGGAAAAAGGAATTAAAAATTAATCAAGAAGTTAACCTGGACAATAGCTCGCAGCGTAAACGCGAGTCCATATGTTTAGGGCTTCAGCTTACAATTTCTGTCCTTTGCAGGCTTCTAAACCCTGTAGAATATCGAGGAAACGAGCATTCAAACGCATTTTGAAAAAGTATTGATGCGACATGCGATCTGAGTATTTGCTCCATGGTATTGTTAAACACAATGAGTAGGACGATTTCCGATGATCTCCACTGCGTTTAACCCAGTCTAGTTTGTTAGATTATCACCTAAAAATTCCCTCAACCTGCCTCTCCCACTTACCTACCAGAGTGAATCAGGTGCAGCTTATCTGAGTCCTTCGGTTTTCCGCGGCCCTCAAGAATGCAGAAAACGAGACAATCTGACCCCTCAAACGACATTTTTCTATTCGCACCAACAAGCCATCTGCAGTGTCTTTAGCGTAAGGCGCCAGTTTCTCCGCGTGATTCCCCGATTGAGTCCAGAATAACGCACAGTTCGCAAGTACCCACAAGCGCGAGAGCCCACTGGTAACTTAAGTCTTTTTAGCAGTAAATCCTTGGACAGGTGTGAGAGATCAGGCACGGAACCTTGCACAGTTCCACTGATATCGACAATTCATTCCAAAGCATCTTCTTAAGACTTAACTCTTATGTACCTAGTCTACTTAAGAACCACTCATCGAGGCACAGAGCACATCTTAAATAGAAAAGCTCCCAGTTTTTGGAAGAAAACCGTGGGTGTTTGAATTAACCGTTTTCCGAAACTCAAAGTGTCCCGTTTCAACGTCGTCGATTATTATGTACGAATCCTGTGTGTGAAACCTCCGTAGGTTATGGGGAAATTTCAGCATCATCCTTTTGGAAAATCATATCGAACTATCATAACCGTTTCCGCTTTAGTTCGCCGGTTGTGTTTATCCTTTAGGTGTTTTACTAACCCTCTCCGCCGCTAGTGATAGAGTAGATAATACGTATAACGTATGGTATGGTAATGCTTATTGCCCTAAAAACCGCAAAGTTCTTCATGCGGGAAAGTGTCCCGCTGTTATAGCAGGCTACTGCACCACGCAAGAAAGAGCCACCGAGAACCACACGAAAAACCGGAACCGCATTTCGCAGCAAAGTTTTGGGATTCTTGAGCTGCTAAGGCTCGTACGAAACGCAGCTTTAGAAAGTTGAAACCACTGATCCAAATGAGAGGCGAAGTTGCCTGTCGTAGATCTACCAAGCTTGACAGAATGAGAGGCCCACACTCGCATTGGTGGTCAACAATATCACATGGTGCAAGCCGATAAAAATTTTCTGTTCGACACAACGCCTGTGACGAAAGCAGTTACCGAACAACGAATCTGCCATCAGGTTGACAACTCAACTCCAATTGGACTCTGGCATGCGAAATGGGCAACATGCTGAATCTGTGAATGCATTTAACTCAGCCTTATTGCGCGCGGTGTACTGAGTTCCTCCCTCCGGTGAGACCGTCCCGATGGCAGGATTTCGTGCGCCCTCTAGGCGTTTCATAGTACAAACACCTCATGGTCCACCACAGTTTCGGAAAATCGTGGTAATAATATGATCACCTATCGCATAACCGTTTGGTGCATATAGTGTCCACCGGCTACCGGGTTTCCTACGCCAGCCTTGTACCCATTTCAGCTTCTTTCTAGAGTGGAATGCGCCACATATACCAAATCAATAAAGGTCACATGCCGGAACTCGGAAGGACAAACGTCACTCCAACATCGACCAGACTACGACGGCGAGGGATGCCAAGTTCAAAGGTCACGTGGGCATCCGCGAAAGAGGACACGGGATAAAAGAACAACCAGTGGAACCGCCCGACAGAATAACTAATCGCGGTCAAAGGTCATCACCGGCTACCAGCACGTATACCAACACACACGTAACACTGCTGAACGCACAACCACTAGCCCACCGCTACGCACAACTACGCACTGATGATGTCACCTCGATTGGTGATGAAGCGTTCGCAACCAAATTGCCCAGCTCAGCGAACAAGCCAACGACTGTCTACGCTACCTGAGCTACCGACATTATTCTCTGTAGAAGACCTGTAGCTTTCAGGTGATGGTCGGTCACTGGTTTTGTAGATTGGCGTGAAAATCGCTCACTGCTAAGAGGAGGGATGGCTGCCTTCTTAAAGCAGCTGACGAAACACCACGAACAAACACTAGACGGAAGTGATTTGCCAGTGCAAAACACATTCTTTCGGGATCCTTGTCCTGTGCGTTATCTAGTGAGTGCGAAGTCTTATTTAATGAAAGCGCTCTGCTAAATGGCTTTTGTCAGCACCGCTGAAAAAAGTCCACTTCATCTGACGCGTTTAAGCTCAATAAATGAGGCTTTTTGAGCGTAAAAATCACCTACCAACAGGGATGAGTACATTTATAGCTAGAGAAGTGTTGCTCAAGGGTTCTTATGGGGAATTGGTCGTCTTCCGGAGGTCTCAATGGCTAACGGTAGACAACACCGAGAAGGAGTGAACCGGGCTCTAGCAAGAAAATTCGAAAGCATAGTGAATGGCAAAAAGGTGCAGAAATTAGTATCAGGGAGGGCATTTTAGATAGGGAGAGCCGCACGTACATATGAAGCAACAACACCAGCCCCCCACGTTTCGAGTCGGGCCGCAAAACAGCGTAGCCGCCTACCGAGATCGTTGCGTCAGAGACACCCGGTGTGAGTCTAGACCCTGTGAGTCCGATTATGGACGGCTTTTTAAAATAATTGACTGTCTAATATCAAAACTTTTGTTTAAAATGCTGAGGCGGTTTGGGAACAAGCATTCGACACTGCCTCTTCTACCTCCCAAGGTAAGGGGCCGAGAAATGTATAACCAGATACAGTAGCAGACTTAATAGCCCTACTTTGGGGTTTGAGGTCAAGGTTCAGAAAGGGCCTACTTGTCTGCTTCCTGTCTTGGTGGTTTTGGGGGCTGCTTTCCACCTGCAGTTTCCTCGCCAATGGGAACCCGGTT